GGTTTTGGAATATCATTCTCCATAAATTCTATTGGTATCCAAGCTTGAAAATCATGACCTTTGATTCCATCGTAACTCGAACGAAATCTTTCTCCATAGTACATGTATAAAGTTTCTTCTGATGATATCGGTAAAGTAGCTACATTGAATTGTTGCGCAGGAACTGTAAAATTTGTTCCATACGGATCATTAAGTGAACATGGATTGATATTCTGACCATCTATATGATCTGGTGGAGCTTTTCCATCAGCACAATAATCTAATTCGCTGAGATAAGTCCAATTACCAAGAGGATTAGTGCTAATAAATGTTCGCGCATCTCCACCCCATTGACAAAAACAACAATCAACACCTAACATCGTATAGTAGATACCTTTTCTTTTGAATACCCCGCCTCCTTCATACCATGGATAATCTTCTTTCTCAAAAATAATAGAGAATTGCCCTGTACTTGTCATCCAATCTGGTGAAAGTTTTTCTATTACATGTCTCAAAGGTGAATCACGTGTATTATATCGAACATAAGCTGTATTATCATCGTCAACGAATAGGCCAGTAGTACTACTGATTACTGTTCCTCCTTGCATCACTAAAGGTGGAACATTCACGAAAGGACCAAAAGGTGTTGAAGAAACAGCAAGAGCAACCATGGAATTTTTAAATCCATATTTGCTTGACCAGTAGACCATAACATATTGGTTAGTATGACGATTATAACCAACATTTGGCATCCAATAATTAATGTAGTTATGATCTGTAGTAACTTCAGGAACAACATTATTACTACTCAATGTCCAATTGACGAGATCTGTTGAAATATATAAAGCAAACGTATTGTTCAAATAACCACATACAGCATCACAAATGGTTGTTGCTTGATGACAATTACCGTAAACTGTACCATACATAAAATAAGTATTATTGAATTTAACTAAACAACCATCATGTGCATCTACATAGGATCCATTTGTATCTAATCGTGGAATAACATTAGAAATAACTACTTGCTTGCTTGAAACAAGTAGAAAACTTGATAGAAAAATGATACAGATGAAATTCATTAACAGAGCGCGATACTCAAAAAAAACGTCTACCTTTATTGATAAGATAGAATATGGTCTAAACGAAAATGTAATACCTGTAAACCTCTACTGTTTTATCATACTGGTGAGATAACAAGTTGCTATTGATGTTGTTTCTTCTGTGTATACTTTAAAACAAAGAAAATCATAATTCGTTGAGTGTGTGAGTGGTGGTTGTGGCCGAAGTATAAGTCTCATCCACACTCATCCATCCTACTTCAAAGATGATATTTGAGGGTGTAAATGGTTTTCATGTCTTAATGTGATTCACACCCTCAACAAACAATATTCGTTAGTGAGACATGATTGTATATAACTAAGAATATTTTAATTTTTCTTAGCATGATAAATCTATTGAATACCATCTATTCAATAATCATCTATAAGTAGGGATACCAAGATTTCCTCTATTTATATTATACTTAATAATTATTAACAATTCGATTCATTCTTCTATATATATGGAATACTATATTTGTCTCTTTCTACAACGTTCTTCCATTATCATAATCTAAGAAGAGAGATAGTGAAAGATGAATGATGAGAAGACATACAATTATATAATTGCGGGTATCATATTTGAACTAGAGTATTGCTAAACAGATGATTTTGTATGAAAAGACCATCTTTAATTTTCACAAGATGTTCATTGTATTCATGTACTACATATTGTTCTCAATGTTCTTTCTTGTGTTGTGTTATGATATCGACGTAGTTTGGTGATATTACGGTGTGCGTACTATAACGTAAGAATCAATATTTTCTATGAAAAGGTGTATCAAATGACATTTACCCTTTTAGAGTTGTGGTCACAAGGTGAATGTGAAATGAAATTTAAATGTTTTCTATATACTATCAAAACAAATCAAACGAAAAATATTGATAACAAGTGTAAATTTCATATTTTTGTTATATTGCATGAATAGTAACAAAGAGTTACGTATGTCTCTTCATGTATTTTTCTATGACATGTACATATTAAATATTGTCATGTGAGAACAGTTCTGAATTGTTGTTGTTGTTGACTGAAAACAATTTTATTCGTTTCTCTCCCTCTATATATATACCTACATCTATTCTCATAGTTTCACAAATCAATTCTTATCTTACTTCAGTTTTATTCTTCACTACATTATTACTATTAATATGCCAGGCTGTGGTTGTGGATGTGGTTGTGGTTGTGGATGTGGCTGCGGTTGCGGTTGTGGCTGCGGTTGCGGTTGTGGTTCATGCTGTGATCCATGCTGTTGTGATCCTTGTTGTTGCTCTTGTTGTGATCCTTGCTGCTGTGATTGTTGCTGCTGTGGTCCAAAATGTTGTGTAACTAAAACTGTATGCTGCTGCAAGCCATGTTGCAAAGTCATCCGAAAGAAAACTGTCACCGTCAAAAGATCATGTGCCAAGGTTTGCTGTTGTTAAATTAACATTTTTGATCTATTTCTCTCACTTCTATTTCCCACATGACCATCATATTGTTCATCCACATCTTTCTTTTTCTTATTTTAATCTACATTTTTATTTACTTCTTGCACAACTAAAAAGAAGGTGTATCACAACATCTTCTTTATTTTTCTTCGCTTTGACTAGAAGTAAGAAGTATTCATATCGATTACTGTCTTTCTCCTCCTTATTCTCCTCTGCTCATCTCTCTCTCTCACTCCTATTTGTATCTGAATAGAATAGGTATGAATAGCTAGTTTTTTAAAATAAAATAACTTAGTGGATAAAGAAAATATTCTTCTTCTCACTTAATTCATTCAATTTCAAAATGGCGTTATAATAATAAAGAAGAAAATGTGTTTGTTTGTTCTTTATGCATTTAATTCTTGTAAGAGCCAGTAATATTGAATTATTGATAATATTAATCATTACATGATTCTCTATTTTACCAATGTAAATAGTATTAATATTGGAAAGAACTATTTGATATTTTATGTCAAACATTTATTGAAAAGAGATGTGTTTTCGATATCATCATATATAACCAAATGGTTCAATATATAAATATTAAGAAGAAAAAAAGTATTATTTCGAGTTTTTAATTATTTTTAAATTGAAGTCATTGTCAAAGTATATTTTATATTAAATAAAAGAATAAATAATTACATTATTAAAGAATTGCTTATTTTCTATAACTATACTTTTGTAAGTTATGTAAACTAAATTACTATCTAGAAGTTTCATATCGGCTACTGTAATATTTTATTAGAACAGCCATTAATTTTGATTTATAAACTACCACATTGTTTTAATATTTGTCTTGAAACGATTTTCTTCGATGTTTTATTCAATAGTATTTATTAGGAAAAATATTGAAAGAGATAAATTATTCTATTTGTACATTTCAAAACTCGAGAAAAATAAAATCTCAAATATTCAGACGAAACACATTTACTTCCTAATTATTTTCTCTTTTGAAAGATATTATATGAATAATCAAAATAAATACAGGTGAATCTTTATTTTGTATCGTTTGATTGACATATTTGTCGTTCTTGTTATTGGTAGAGACAAAATACATGAGTATTTTGTGTTGTCGTAGATATATACATACACGTGTTTTTCTTCTTCTTCTTCTTTCTTTCACCTACGATGTACTTTTATACAAAAAATTATGTTTTATGATAGAAAAGGAAGTGTTTGATAGTTAACCAATCATTGAAACAAATACTTTGCTTTACTATAGATTCAACAAGCTATATGAACATAGTGAAGATAATTATTGATATATTTACTAAATGTGTAAGGAAGGAATCTAACAATTCCGAAGGCAAATGTACATTACTATCAACTCAAGTGTCTTATGAAGATACTATTCAAAATTTTTGTCTTATATGGTTAGATAAGAATATTGGCGAAGTGAATGATACTGATTGTATGAATATCATTGTACAATTACGACAGGTTATAAATGATATACAAACATTTACCGATGTCGATGAATGTGTTGCATTTATTAATGATAGTACAGATAAAAAAATTTGTTTAGTTTCTTCCGGAGCACTCGGTCACACAATTGTTCCAATCATTCATGATAAGGCACAGATAAATAACATTTATATTTTTTGTGGAAACAAAACTCTACATGAGCAATGGACACAACAATGGCCTAAAGTGAAAGGAGTATTCACAGATATTTCATTGATATATGAATCACTTACACAAGCCATTCAAGATTACGATCAAAATTCTGAATCTATCAATTTTATCGAGACAATTGATGACACTTCAAATATAAATTTAAATAAACTTGATCGATCGTTTATGTATACTCAACTATTGAAAGAAATCCTACTGACAATAGATTTCGAACTAGAATATTTTAATGATTTTCTTATATTTTGTCGAGAATACTTTGCCGATAATAATATTGAATTGAGAAATGTCGATAAAATCGAAAAAGAATATCAATATCATCAACCAATCTGGTGGTATACATATAATTGTTTTCTTTGCTCCATGTTGAATAAAGCATTACATACAATGGAAATGGATCTAATCATTAAATTAGGCTTCTTTATTCGAGATCTTCATCAACATATTGCTGACCTTCATTACGAACAATATGGTGATCATCATCAATCGAAAACTTTTACCGTATATCGTGGTCAAGGTTTATCTCAGACAGATTTTGATCAATTGACGAAAAAATACGGTGGATTATTATCTTTTCATAGTTTTTTATCCACAAGTAAAGATCGAAATGTGTCTCTGGCTTTTGCTCGACAAAGTATTGAAACTTCTCATCCAATAGGTATTCTTTTTATTATGAAAATTGATCCATCTAAATCATCAACACCTTTTGCTAACATTCGTAATGCTAGTGTTCATCATAAAGAAGAAATTCTCTTTTCTATACATTCCGTCTTTCGTATTGGATCAATGAAACTAATTGACAAAACTAATAATCGTCTTTGGCAAGTAGAATTAACATTAACAAATGATAATGATCCACAATTATGTGCTTTAACGGAACATATACGAAAAGAAACATTGTCTGGTTATAAAGGATGGTATCGATTAGGTGCATTATTACTTCAATTAGATCAGTATGATAAAGCTGAGCAACTATATAATTTATTACTTGTAAAAGTAACAAAGAAAGGTGAAGAAGCACATTTAAATCATATGCTAGGAATAGTCAAAAATAATCAAGGAAAATATGAAGAAGCTATTCATCGATATGAAAAATCAATTGAAATCAATCGAGAAATACTTTTACCAAATTCGTCTGCTCTTGCTGCTTCTTATAATGGTCTCGGTTCAGTATATTCTAGTATCAATGACTATTCAAAAGCGCATTCATATTATGAGAAAGCACTTATTATAAATCGCGAAACTCTTCCGTTAGATCATCCTGATTTAGCTACGTCTTACAACAATATCGG